ACTATCACTTTTGGGGCCTTTATTTACAAAATTACAATAATAAAAAGATAATTAATAACAGTCGCGCTGAATCAACCAGAAGGCTGTCCAAACTTCTTCATATGACATATTCACTTTTCTTATTTTGAATCTGTACAATTACACATAAATTGTAAATATGCATCCAAATTTGCATAAAGATGTTATGTTCAACTTTGTTCTATGTAAAAATAGTGTTCCCTTAGGGATCCATAGAAACATACAATTTTGGTAGACTTTTGCATGCAACTGTATTTTGTTGCACATTTAAAAAGTACACAATTTTCATATGTGGGTCTAATTTTACATAAATTATCTTCTAAGTTGTACCCCTTATTTTCCCTCCTATATGTTAGGTTGGTGGTCTAAGTAAGCGTAGTCCAAATGTTCTTTAAATTATTTAGACCTGGAAAAACACTGTTACCCCCATACTGCATGACAGATACAGTATTTATATATTGTATATGGGGTTTTTTTCCCCTGACTTAGTGAAGACTTTGGTTAGCTGTAACAACAAATTGAGATGTAAAACTACAGTACTTTGAAGTGAGATTGCAAAGCATTATTTTATTAAATCTGGTTTAAAATGTAAAACTACCTAGCAAATAGTGATTTAATGCTGTATGCCTCACTTCCTTCAATCTTCCTGTATTCAGGTTGGCCACAATTGTATTAAGCATCTATTTTGTACATAGAAGCACTAGGGTATTTTTCAGACACTATTCATTTAAGCCTAGACCCCGCCTTGCTAAGTATAGTTGTCAAAACTAGGATAGATTACATTTTTCCTGATTCATACAGAGAATTCTGGCTCATTACCTCACATCTAGGGGGACAAGATGCTACATAGATAAGGCATTAAATAAAGCTTAACTTACAGCCATTTAAACCTTTAAGTAAATATATTTTGTTAACCAGCATTATTTCTGTTGCGGTTTTATTTATAACTGACCATTCTAACTTTCCCTCTATGGTGGAGCATATCTTGGTGAAAGATGATTTCATTTAGAGTCTGAACAAGGCTAAAACAATAGTCCTGATTAAATACACTGTAACTCTGATTTTTGCCTCCTCTTTCCTATTAATTTTAATTTTTAATTCATTTTTAATTAATTTTAAACACTTTTGTTAATAAATCAACCAACAGCTCTGACTAGAAAGATACTGATGCTGATGCTCTTTTTTCATTATCCTCGTATTGTTTTGCTTGACTAAAGAAAGAATCTAACCAAATGAGATTTTTAAAAGAGCTTGAGTCTGAAGCCTTGCTGTGGCTGTGGTTGCACATTACACTAAATCATGATCTGATTTATTTGGCTTTGGCTTAATATATTATATGAAACCAGCTAGTGTAGCTTACTCAAGGTGCCATGTTTAAAATTAATCATAACTTTATGCAACATATATGAACCTTCTATGTTTTCATACTGTGAACGTGGCAGTTCTTCACTTCAGTGAAAACAGTATAGCCAATGTTTCACGAAATGTAATGTTGAACCTTCCACTAGTTTTAATGGATCTGAGATGCATGGTGGCATGCAGAATTCTTTAGTTACACAAAAAAAGAATCCGTGGTTTCAAGATCCTCACTGAAACTCATTGAACTCTCTCCTGTATGGGATTACTATGTGAAATATAGCCTTGCCTAGTAAGTACTTTCTCTACTACTTTTCTCTTGTTGCATGTTGGACCTTGTTTTGCTTAAGGACCTTGGTTTGCTGTTGAGGTCACACTTCCTGGTCCTAGGTTTGTTGGGTGCTTTGCTTGGTAATGAACCATGAAATCCAACTTTCCAATGGTAGGAAAGTCAGAGCCAATGCAATCCTAATTCCCTGCCACATGTACTTTCTACCCTGGGCTTCCATATGAAGGTGGTTGAGGACAAATATTCCATTAAACGCCCTGAGACAATAATATACCAGGCTTGTCTTGTTTATGTATCTTTGATTTGTACTTGGTATTCCTGTAATGGCAAGCCTTGCTTTGATAGTAGGGCATTTTATAAAAATCTGTAAAGTTAAATCACAGTTGGTCCCTTTAATCTCCCTCCTGTTATAACCATCTAAAAAATAAGCTACCAGTTAAATTAAAAAGCAGCTCTCTGACCCTATAATGAATATTAAAGGGCTATCTAGCTTTCTCACCCCTTTCTCAAATATATCTATTGTCTTTACCATGAAGCATTACAAATATCAGGACTATTGTGTTTCATAACTTCATAACTAATAAAACAAGTGATATTAGAACATATTTAGTCTCATTACCTAGAAATATCCCTGATTTTGTATCCAGTTAGTAATAACTGCTGAAAATCATTTCCTGTCACCCAATTTCAGCTAGCAATCGGTTGGTTTTGGGGGGGGGGTTAATTACTTTTGCTGAGATATTGGGATCTTCTAATTCTTCTGGGATTCCTGTGTTTGGGGATAAGTCTCCTGTAAAGCTGTTTTCATCTGTTTTATTTTATTTAACTAAACGTTTTTACTCCATCTCTTCAACCCATGTAGATAAAGTTGCTCAACTCATTAAAAACAAAATCCCTGTACAGATTAACAATGTACAGATATTCCTCACTTAATGACCACAGTGGAGACCAGAAACTCCATTGCTAAGTGATGTGGTCGTTCAACAAAATGTCACATGACCGTGACGGACTTATGACCTCACTTCTGCCACAGTCACTAAGCAAATCACCCATGATCATTAAGCTAGACATCATGTGACCGTGACTTGCGATTTTACTGCTGGCTTCTCCATTGACTCTACTTGTTGGAAGCTGGGTGTGAAGTCAGGGGACACTGTGATGGTCGTAAATGCCCACCAGTTGCAAAGTGCCCAAATCTCGACCATGTGACTGCAGGGATACTGTGACAGTTGTAAGTGCAAGGACCAATCGTAAAATTACTTTTTCAGCACTATCTGAACTTCAAAATATTGCTAGACAGGGCAGTTGTTAAGCAAAGACTACCTGTAAAAGAAAATCTAGATCTTGTACAACTTTGAATGACTGCTTAGCTATCCATTCTTAACTAAATTTTCCTGTGTAATGGAGTGGAGACAACTGACTTCATAGTGGCAGAAGTTGAGTAACTCTTCCCTCCAGTCTCTGCTTGCCAAATTTCCACTCACACTCAAGAGCAGTTCTCCTGAACCTTGAGAAGCTAGCAGGATGACTGAAGAGTGGAAAAATTGTCCCAGAGAGACAGATGCAATCTCAAATAACATCTGTTATTTTGCTTGTGGTAAAATCAAGGTAAACACAGAAATTCTGTTCTCCTTTGTTCCCCCATCCTGCAACCAATTTATGAACTTCTGGGAATGATGGAAAGAGAAAATCCTAATATTTGGGTGGTTTGGTAGCTATGTCACAGACTACCTCTGGGATGGCTCCATTCTTTAGAAACATTAGAGGCAGGAGGAGTCTGTGCAAATAATGGGACTTGGCGAGGGTCTCATGTGTCTGTGTACTGCTACTTTTGTTGCGCTGAGGGATGTGGAAATTATGTGCATAGAGATAGATATGTAGGTCTATTCAAAGCAAGACATAAAAGTAGTAATTTAAATGTGCACATACCTGGACAAACACATACACACACACTTAAGCTTTAAGTATCTAGATGTGAATAATTGCCCAGCAATTTTTTTTTTTCCTTCTGAACTTGCAAAAAGGCAAAATCTAGGTTCAGATATGCACAGGTGTAAGCATTTATTGGCATTTTGGGTCAGCTTGTTCTGCACTTGTTATAAACAAATGCTGACATTCCGTATTTGCTTCAGCTGGAATTCAATGTTCTGAAGCCGAAAGATCTCTTATATTAAATTAATTGTAGATTGGTGCTAGATTTAATTTATCACTGTTAATTGAGATAATTCTTTTTTGTCTTCTTTCAAAATTAATCCTTGGAGTTCTGTCCCTCTCTTTTCTGAGAGAAAAGGTGATACGTGCTGTCAGATTCAAGTGATGGCCTCCAGATGACTTGGACTAGAGGAATCCGAATTCTCAATCATCATGGTTAAAGTGATGTCCTGGTATTGTGTGTTTTGAGTCAAATCAGACCCTATGCTGATCCATCTTATGAGGGTAGCCAGATAGAAGACCAGCATATAAGACATAAGCAGAACAGTGCATGAACACCTACAGTGTCTTACTGGAATGGACTGACTGCGCCTGTGCCTGATTATTTATTTGAGCCTTTTCTGCCAGCATCATCTGTGATATAACAGAATAAGGCAACTAGATAAGACAGCAGAGAGCAACAACAAGCAAGGATTTTTATGAGTGCCTTTTGGGAATAAATACAACTAGGAAATGGAGGCTCACAAAGAGCAGTTTGAGGGCTGATTTTCTGCCAGCTAAATCAGTCTTCTGCAACCTGACATGACCTTGATTCCAAATTCCAAGTCAGCCTGCCCTTATATTGAAATGAATAAATAAAACCATACTTTTAAAATGTTGCTTTGTTTCACTGACACTTGTCAGTATTAAGGGATGGAGTGGAGAACTATCAACCACGTTAAGGAATTCAGATTGGCTACTCCTTACCACCTGAGATCAGATCAGCCCCAATCCTGCCGATCTTCCAGAAAACATTGAAAACCTGGTTGTCTCCCCAGGCACGGTGGTCATGAAAGTAGTGACGTCTGGGTGGATTGCTGTTAAGTTATGTTACATTATATTATATTGTTTTTACTCTCAGCTGATATTTCCTTTTTGAATTATGTTTTGAATTGCATGTATTAATGTTTTTTTTTCTTATTGCGGCTTCCATTTAAACTTGTTCACCACCCAGAGTCACTGCAGCAAGAGGGGCAGCCATATTAATATAATATAATATAATATAATATAATATAATATAATATAATATAATATAATATAATATACTTCTGTTTGTTTTAGAATCAGTCATTTCTGTTCATTATTTAAAATTCTCCTGGGTGTTTCCTAATTTGGAGGTAATAGTTTGCTTGACTATGTCTTACAGCCCAGTTCAACGGGGGAGAAATAAGGCAATCTTCACCTTCTCCATCTTCAAGTGATCGGCGCCGACAGCTTCGGGCACCAGGGGGAGGTTTCAAACCCATCAAACACGGTAGCCCAGAATTCTGTGGAATCCTGGGGGAGAGAGTGGATCCAACTATTCCGCTGGAAAAACAGATGTAAGTTGCTGACACTTGGTGCAGGGAAATGTCGGGTAGCAGAAACTGACATCAAAGTAATTTTGTGCAGATGTTGGGAGTTTGCAGGGCTGTGTCCAATACACAGTCACTTTGCTTTGTCTTGCATACTTTATGCCTATAACTGGATATGTTTTTCTTTCTGTGCTTCCATGCAAGGGCCATCTCACTTACACAGCAGAAACACATTGATTTGTCAGAAAACATACAACAGAAGAGTGTAGCCAGGACCAATTCCCTGTAGCCAATCCCAGTTCGTAGCAGTATGAGGTTTTCAAACATGTGTAGTCAAATTTTACTTGTTTCCACAATGGACGGGGCAGCCTTTAGATGCACAGCTAGAAAATATACCTATGAAGTGACCCTTAGAATATATCCTGTGTCTATAACATAAAAGGGCGTTTTGGAGCATTTGGGCTGCTTTTCAGATCCGTGGACATTATGTGCCTTTTTCTAAAAAAATTTATTTTATTTTATTTTTTTTGGTAACACTCTGTTTTAGATACGAGCAAATTAGTATCAGTGACCTTTTCTCATTTTTTTTCACCAAGAGGAGATTGTTGCCTGGATATACTGTGTACAAAGCAGAGTCTACTTTAATGAAACCGGAAATCTTCAAGCCTTCCATCTAATATAGTTGAGGGAAATTATGAGAACCGGCACAGTTTAGTCCAGTTCACAATACAAACACACAGTTTCATGTAGTTGAATAT